CTCTGCAGGTTTGGGTAGGACCCCAAACTCCTGCCACATGTCTGCCCTGGACCCCAAGTGCATGGGGCTGCCCTATTGATCATTGACTGCACGGGGCCATTCAGCTGACCTGCCGACCTGGGACCTAGGACCACATGGGGCTGGCTGGCTGTCCTGCTGACCTAGGAACCCTGGCCAAATGGGGCTAACTGGCTGCTCTGGAGTTGGTGGGGCCAGGTGGCAGCCTCAGAGCCCCATCATGTGGCTACAATAGATCCTTACAGCTGGTGGAGCCGGTTGGCTCCCTGCTCCCTACCCTCCCTGCTCCCAACTGCAAAGAGCAAAGACTAGCTGCTGGAGATTCCCAATGTTCTCCATTGGGAAGTGGTTACCACTGTGGTGCTGGGAGTGTATCGGAGGCCGGGAGGGATCAGAAAGGTGGGCATGAGGAGCTCAATGTACTCTAGCAATGCCCAGCTAAGGGACCATGAAAGCTGGCATGGTTTAAAGCAGGTCCCAGGATGCTCCACTCTGTGTAGAATGTGCTCAAGTCTCAGGATAAGGAGGGACAATCTCCCACCTTCCATGCCCAGCCTAAATTCAGTCATGTTTTTTCTTGGGTGACTAATCAAGGTATATAGAGCTCAACCTTAATCCCTGGCTAGAGTTCCTAGTGCCAGAAGGATAATTACAGTGCTTCCCTCAAGAGTTTCCACAACAGTTACAGCAAGAAGCTGCTATATGCTATGTCCTGGGATGTCTCACTCTTGAGTAAACAGAGATCAGACTAAGTGAACTGGGAGCACAGAAACAGGAAGTTAAGAGAGCTCTGAATTCTGCATGGGACTTTATATCATTAGCTGAAACATGGGCTGCCTTTTTCTTCCCTAGCATTAGTTGGATGAAAGTCAGTTATGGATCTTGAAACCCCAAAGGTCAGAAGTGTTTCTACCTGGTGTTTTGATTTTGGCCAATTCTTTTTCACTAACAAAAGTTGTATTTTTAAACAAAATGTAATTTTCCAGATTTACTTGTGTGATTAACCACAGGAAAATCAGTAAAATTACACTTGCAAAGGACATAGTGTGGAAAACAGAACTGTGTTAAATTAATACTTACCAGCTCCCTGAAGGAAAATGCAAAGAGGATATTAAGAACTTGAATAACAGCAGGATATTAAACAGGAGGCTTTTAATAACAGAGAAAATATAATGGCTCACTGAACAGAGACTGTGGCTGTATTTGGCTCAGACCCACCCACAGTAGAAAAAATTCCAGTTGGCTTGATATAGGTCTACATGAAACAGATGTTTGTCTAGCTTGTATCCTCTCTCATCTCATTCTTGAATGGTGCTGAGCACTCCTGCAAGATGCTGAGTGCTCCCAGCTCTTACTGAAGTCAGGGGGCTCACCACCTGGTAAGAGCATGCAGCAGCAGAACTGAGCCCTATTAAATGGTGATATATACTGCTTGTTTCACACAAGTCATCTGTTTCCTCTGTTTTGTTTGTTGTCAGTTTGTTAGCAAAGGAAAATGGTGTATTTCAAACAACATTTGCTGGGAAACTGACATGTTTTCCATCTCTCTCATTTTGTTATGCTGGGGGCACGTACTGGATTAATATTAATCACCACGGAGGCCAAACAGAACAAAAACAGGAAGGGCAGTTCTGTAAGCTACCCCCTCACCTCTCCCTATGAACAAGCCTCCCTCCTGACTAGGAGAAACAGCAGTCTCTGTAACTCCGTAATCCTTTGTCTCTTTGCTAAAATGCCATCAGGGCTGCTCAGTACCAGGGATACTAAGAGCTCTTTCACAGGGTACCTCAACTCTCTAAGGGTATGTCTACACTACCACCCTAGTTCGAACTAGGGTGGTAATATAGGCAACCGGAGTTGCAAATGAAGCCCGGGATTTGAATTTCCCAGGCTTCATTTGCATCTCGCCGGGCACCGCCATTTTTGAATGTCCGCTAGTGCGGACTCCGTGCCGCGCGGCTACACGCGGCACGGACTAGGTAGTTCGGACTAGCCTTCCTATTCCGAACTACCGTTACTCCTCGTTACTCCTAGTCCGAACTACCTAGTCCGTGCCGCGTGTAGCTGCGCGGCACGGAGTCCGCACTAGCGGACATTTAAAAATGGCGGTGCCCGGCTATATGCAAATGAAGCCCGGGAAATTCAAATCCCGGGTTTCATTTGCAACTCCAGTTGCCTACATTACCACCCTAGTTCGAACTAGGGTGGTAGTGTAGACATACCCTTAGATATTTGCCTAGGTTTACAACAGGCTACATAAAAAGTACTATTGAAGTCAGTACAAATTACAATTTCATACAAGGACTTGTTTATACTGCTCTATATACTGTACATTGAAATGCAAGCGGACTATGTATATTCCAATTGATTTATTTTATAATTAAATGGTAAAAATGAGAAAGTACGCCATTGTCCAGTAATAGTGTGCTCTCACACATTTGTATTTTTATGTCTAATTTGTAAGCAAGTAGTTTTTAAGTGAGATGCAACTTGTGGGTACTCAAGATGAATCAGACACCTTTTAAAAGGAGTACAGTGGTCTGGATGGTCGAGAGCCAATGCCGTAGAGGTTATAGAAGATCAGCTCGTCAGTTTCCTTGCTCCTCCAGCACACTTGCTTGAGCCTTGAACAGGACACATATTGTTATACTTGCATTTGCAAGGTGCGGTATGCTAGATTCATATGGTGTTACACCTTCTTCACTACAGAAGCCTCATACCACTACGATCACTTCCTGCATGTCACTGGGTATCTTGCTGTCATTTTGCTTGCGTTACATGCCTCAACTGACCTAAACTAATCTTTGGAACTGACTCCTGCCTTGGTGTGCGAGAGGCCAAGGGAGAAGTACAGAGGGGATTCGCCCCCCCCTTCCAAACAGCCAGTTAGAATGGCTCCCCAGCACACACAAATGCACAGGCAGAAATTCCTGGTTAACATTCCAAACCACATACCACATCTGAAAGAACTGAATGCTGTTGGAAGAGGGGGCTACGCAGTTCACAGGTGGCTAGTGGCTATGATGCAGTCAGCAAAAGTGCTAGCTGCAGCAGGTCAGGGCATAGTATACGCCTGCTTAAGAAGAGCACTAAAATGCAATCCAAGGTATATAATGTGGATCTTGTCAAGGGTATGTCTACACTTGCAGCCTATTTCGGAATAGAGCTGCAAATGTAGGCATTCGGAATTGCAAATCAAGCCCGGGATTTAAATATCCCTCACTTGATTTGCATCTTCCCGGCCGGGCGCCATTTTTTGAAATTTACAAGCCCGGAATAACTGCCCGCGTCTATATGCGGCACTGAAATGGACGTTCGAAATAAAGCCCTATTTCGAACTACCTGTTATTCCTCCTGCAATGAGGTTTAACAGGTAGTCCGAAATAGGGCTTTATTTCAAATGCCCGTTTCACTGCCGTGTGTAGACGTGGGCAGTTATTCCGTGCTTGTAAATTTCAAAAAAAAAAAAAAAAAAAAAAAGGGCGCCTGGCCGGGAAGATGCAAATCAAGCGGGGGATATTTAAATCCCGGGCTTGATTTGCAATTCCGAATGCCTACATTTGCCGCCCTATTCTGAAATAGGCTGCAAGAGCAGACATACCCTAACAGAGTTCCTGACGCAGAAGCACCTGCCGTGATCCAACTCATTCTCCCAGAACTGCTGCTCTCACCAGTCAGGATTGGGAGTTGGGTCCATTTTGAAATGTTTGGATGCAGAACTGCATCCAAATCTGAAGTTCCCCAATATGTGGAGGTATTTGGATTCCACATTTTGGTTTGGTCCAATACAGAGAGAGGGCCCATGTGCTGAAGTTGCAATCCATATCTGGATCTTGGATTCAGTGACCACATTGAGATCCTGTTACAAATACCTGGACAGATAACATCTGGTTCTAGAGCTGCATATCCACATAGTTTGATGGGATTCAGTCTCAATGCAATCCCATCCCTAATATGCTTGAGAACACATTGCCCAGACTATTAATCCATCAGTCCAAATATATATATTTATCTGGAGAGTTATTTTTAAATCTTGCAATTCCCATAGCACCTGCCTTTATTTTGTGGAAATCTCTTGAATTCACAGTGCTAACTGCACATTTACAGTCTTTTGAAGTGGGAGATGTGGCCAGAGCAACTAGTTTCCTTAGATACCCTCTTGTGCATGTCACCCTCTGAAACCAGTGAACTTTGATGATGGAAAATATTTATGAAGAACACAGAGGGAGAACTGGTTGACTTCATAAGAAAGTAGGGCATCTCTTTTGCACAAGGCAACAGGGCAGTGTCTCTCATTTTAAAACTCATGCTCAAGTATTTTTTTCATGGCTGACTACCTTTTCAATTTGGTCCAATACTTGGGGTGATTGAAAAGAAACTTTGCTAATTGCAATTAGATTAAAATTCTAAAAAGTTTAAGTGAAGCATTCTACTGGCAAATTCACAGAGTAGCAAAAGATTCCCATTGGGTAAATACAATATTATCTAACTGGTTTTAATCAGGGTAAAAATGCTTTACTTTCAACCATGCAAAAACAGTTTTACTGCACAATGTAGCATCACTACAGAGCCTTACTGAGGCACTGAAAAATCTTATTAATAACTAATTGATTCAATTATGATGCTAGTGACACACCTGAAAGAATTGAGGGCATGACATTCAACTGTTCTACCATATGTTACTCTGTTAGAACAGAAAGCCAATGTGAAACACAAACACACTTAGGACCAAAAAACATCATTTTTTGAGGAACACGGGTTCTGTCGAAAAAGAGTTTGTTTTCGACAGATCCGTATCTAGACTGCTGCTTTTTGTTGACAAACTCCATGTAAAAAAAAAGCGGCAGCCATGTTTATGCTAATCTCTGCTTCATTAGCAATTTCGATGTGCCTAATCTGCATCCCTCTGTCAACAGAGGGATGGGGTCTAGACACACCCCGAGAGACTAACAAAAATATATAGGATAATGAACTTTCGTAGGTAAGACCCACTTCATCAGATGAGTTGAAGTGAAAATGACAGAATCAAAGATACATATAACAGCAAAAGAAGTACCTGTCAATTGTAGGACCAGTACAAAGAGGTTTTGTTTAAAGTATTTATCTGCTGCCATTTCTCTATACTCATATCTGTCATGTTAAAGAGAATGAGAAATGGGACAGATTTTTACAGCTCATAGGAGCTTTGACTGAAGATATATACCCTTCCTTTGGCAACGAAGGCTACAGAGTATTTTGAATGGATACAGCCCTTAGAAATCATTGCTCACAAGATAAATACAATAAATACAACAAAGATATTACCCATTAATTCAACACTGAATACAAATATTTGTATAAAATTGCTACCACAATTTATCTTACATTTTCCCTCCCATTATCAGGCCATAGAAACATATTAATTCCTAAGTGTAAACATTTGTCAAGTTCTATCAGCAATTTGCCTTTGCTGCTGCCTTCCAATGTTCCATATATCTCACTTCTGTATGTAACACATGTACCCAATTGACCACGGGAGGTTTTGTATGTACACAGTATGGTTATCTGGCCAACTCCATGATTAGTTCAGTTCCACAGTTGAATCACTGGCAGTTAATTAGGCTGGAAAATGTCTGCACTTTAAGTCATTTCATTCATATATAAGCTTATTGACCATGTGGCTTTTGTGGAAAATTTGGATGTCAGAATAATGAACCAAAAAAAGCCATAAGTCTTTATTTTCTAGAAAGGGTCAATCCAGTGAAGTATAATCATTATCATTTTTGGCTGCCAATAGTCTGATTGAAATTGGAGCTTTTGCCCCTTCCATTTAAAACACACACACCAGAAATGCTCCTTCTAGAGTGCAGATTGCAGTACCTATATATTCTATTTGGCTTTTTCTAGAAATATCAAGCAGATTCAGTATTAACTCTCAGATTATCATCTCTGCTCATTGACTTTAGAAGGGGAGTCTTAGTTAAACCATCCATCCATCCACCTACATGCCACTGCCTTAAGATTCATAATAACACTTTAAACTTAACTGATGGACTGTGTGTAGTCTAGTTCCAAACACAAGAATCCTGAAAAACTGCTAATTACAACTGAGCCAACACCTACCATCCAACGCATCTGCACATCTAGATGACTAGACTTCCCTGGAGGATAAGATACAAAGCATTTTTCATATAATGTTGTGATAGAAATACCAATCCTCAAAGCAGATTAAAAACTCAGTAAAAGGAACAAACAAGAAACTGAAGAAGTACTAGAAAATCCAACCAATAGGAAATAAGCACCCTTCTATGTAAATCCCACTTTCATTTTGTATTTCACATATAAACACTGGCCTTTGACATCAAATTAATACATGACATGTATAGGCTATTCTTGATTAAAGCTTTCACCTCCACATAATTTGCAAATGTGACCAAACTTTACTACTGAAGTTCAAGTTTAATAACCTGCACTTCATTTCCAGTACGGTGGCAGCTCTAACTGAACAAAATGGGTCTACCTATATATATTTATATAGCTATATGTATATATACACACACACACCAACACACACAACAAAAACGCTTGTAACTGTCCACTCCTGCAGCATTCCATTCTCTGGTCTTCTTAGAATGTGAAGGCATACACCACTCCCACAACCACAATGTTTCCAATTGTTGCTATGATCGCAATCCATAACAATATGGCATCATTTGAGGAACGGGAGGTCTCTTCTTGCTGGTTCTGAATTGAAGCAGCAGCATGGACATTGGCCGATGAATTAAACAAGGAGTATTCTGTACCAAAGTCCTCATTGGGTGAGTCCATGAAGGCTCCTCCCATAACAGGAATCTGTGAAGAAGGAGTTGACAACATTAGATTAAAGTTTAGGGTCAACTTTTTATTTTTTTGGTCTTAATATACCTTTTCATACAAAGCACTAACTACCGGTCATTGTGACAAAACTGCACAGCTCTCACACGCATGACGTTGGGGATGCAATGATCAAATATGGAAGAATGTCCTTTGCCAGGCACACATTCCTAACATTAAACAATAGACAGTGGATCTGTCCATGGCTTGCATGATCTTGACGGGATCTTTGCACTTTTGCTAGCATAGGCAGATTTTAAATGTGTACTTCATAACGTTTCCATCAGCACTATTAATTTCATTTCAGGGGAAATGTGATATTATACATGTATATCAGAAAGATAGTTTGCTTTTAGTATAGGTGGGTATTTATATGATTCCCATCGATATAATTTCCGAATGGAGGTGGGTAGACTGTAAACTCAGGCTGTGATGGGAAATCAGGAACTTTTAAAACCAGGCCTGTATTTTAACTTCTCTCACGCAGGATAATCCTATGCTATTGAGTAGCTGCTCAGCTACTTTTTTAGGCTACTTAATTTTGCTCCTCTATTTGGTCAATCATGCAAAATAGGAGGGCTGGAATAGGGGAGCAGCAGAACAACCACCTGCTTCTCAGCTTTCACTGACTGAACAAGCCAACCAGCCCTTGTTACTAAAAGTTGATACTTCTGAGCAGGGATTATCAGGTGATTCCACTACCAGTGCAGAAGGAAACTATAAGGAGAGGAGGGATGCTTAGGGACAGACAACAGGAAGAAGTTGTTGCAGAGGCTGCAGAACAGCTGCAGTTAATATCCCTGCTGCAGCTGCCAAATATCCCTGACCTGGGTGGAGAAGGGGGAAAGTTTGGCCCTGGAAGCTAGAGGCCTGAAGAAGTTTAAGGACCAGAGAGAACAAATTCTTTTAGCCTAGAAAAATGCTCTAGTCAGATAGAGCTGAAAGAGGCCTGCCATTGCAGGGAAAAGCTGTAGAGAGAAAACTCAGGGGGAGAAGAGAATCTATAGCAATGAGTTTTGCATTGTATCTTAAGTCAATAAATTAGACCTTGGAAGAGTGGGCATTGTTGACCCAAAAACCAAAGCCCATGTGGAGTTTATTTAAGAAGCACTAGATGGGCAAAACTCAGGCAGGCAAGTATAGGCCATGAACAGGAACTGAAGGCTCTTTCACACCTCCAACAGTGGAGTTGTGCAATGGAAAGCCTAGGAGAGCTAGATTTGCTAGCTTTACATTTACTAGGGGTATCCCCATTACAGGAGCTAAGGGCAGTGCAAACAGAGCGATGCAGGCCAAAAAATATCTGGTGCAGTGAGATAACACTAGGAATATAATCAAGGAGATCTGGCACCCATTCCATGTTCTAAATTAAAGTTAAATTCCAGGCACTTGGGTGTCAAAATATAGACAGTGGCTTACAAAATGGCTATCACTTCATCATGAATGAAAACTCAACACAAAGAAACCTGGCAGAATTGTGCTGCTCAGAGGAAATAAACTAGTAGAAGGCAGAAATAATGTAACAGAAAATGTTATGTGGTGTTCTTGCCCCACATGATGTATAATCAATGAGTGACCTGATAAATTACAGGCAATAAAAGAGAACACCAAAGTCCCTATACATTTACCATTCTTCTTTTGCCATGATAGCTACTGACAGAAGTTCAATGTTTTGTTGTCCTGAGAAAGAAACCTACAAAGCTTATTCGTATGCTGAACACACCCTTGTGGAGACAGAGGATTCATAAATGCAAACAAGTATGCTGAAAATTCATTGAACAAGCTGCAGAAGCCTTAACTGATGATAGAGACAGAACCCTAAGATAGTGTGAATCTGAATAATAAATGGAATTATTTTGACATTCTGGCCCAATATGTTCAGAAACCAAATACGACTATTTTCTGCTGTCTGCTGAAAATACAAAGGAAGTGGGAAACTTCATGCTTCACTTTTCCTCCCCACCATATAGACATCCCTGATGCAGAAGACTGAGAGTCCCTTGCAATAGAGGTGTCAAGATTGTACACAGAGCTAAACAAAAGCACTCAATAAAAAGGCAATTATTCTGAGCATGATTCGAAATCTAAGGATATGAATTTTTCAAGTCACTCACTCAGCCTGGTAGTAAAGTTCAGAAGGCCGATTCATTCATCGCCTCCTTAACAACAATTTAAATCATATTCCCAAGCTTGCGTTAAGTCTTATAGAAGAAATTCAGCCACATCACCAGATCTTCCAACACATCTTTTGACTCTTCATTCATTTAAGAATCAAGTTACTGGTGACCTAAGGCCAAACTCTGAAGGCTTTGGGAAAAAAAATACCAGCAGAAAATTTAAAATGTTAGCCCAATTAAAATCTTCCTGTAGCTTTTTCGGAAAAAGGCGTGTGGACGCGGAAGAGAGTGTTTTTTCGAAAGAAGAGGCCTCCAGGAAAAAGCACAGGTGCCCTGGTGGCTACTCCATCCACAGTAATCACAAGTGAATTGTGAGATAGTGTCCAATTGTTGTGCTTTTTCGTTGTGCTTTTACTGTGTAGATGCTCTCTTTCAAAAAAAAATTTTCCTGAAGATGTCTTCTGAAAAATCTTCTTTTGAAAGAAGCTTGCAGTCTAGATGTAGCCCCACAGGGGAATTGGGCACATACAGAAGCTTCTTTCACTATTGTCTGGTTGTGTTTATAGCCCGGCTTGTTACTAAGGTAGGTACATGTAAACAGAAATGTGTTTTAATTGTTTAATAAATACATTAATAAACACAACTACTACATGACTGTGATTTTCACAGCTGCCTAGAGGACATGGACAGACAACTCCCATTTGTTTCAATAGGAACTATGAATCCCTTAGCCAGTTTTGAAAATCAGTAGCCATAAATCAAATTTCTTGAGTTAATTTCTTTTCTCTTCAGTTTGCTGGAATGCACTTAAACTGGTACAATCTGGGGTTACCAAGAATGGAACCACATGTCCTTAGGATATAGAAACTAATCAGCCCCCTGAAGGTGGAATAATACCCTCTGCACATGCAGCCTCCCATGCATGTTCAGTAGAGAGCTGTGTGCTGCCTCAGTGCCTCACTCCTCCTTCCCCTAGATCTTGCAGAAAGCATGGATGTGTTTCTGGATCCAGATCTGGAAAAGTGGCAGGACAGGGATGAGAGGGTGGGAACATTTCCCGTAAGTAATTCCAGAGCTATGTACAGCCCAGCCTTCCTGTGCAGCTATGTTGCTAGAGAGCTGGAGGAAGCACAAAGGGCCTGTGATGGGGTGTACCAGCCCCGCACTGTGAAGGCGGAACTTAATCAGGCCCACCTGGCTGAAGAAGCCCTGCCCCTACACCTCTGCTGGGCATGCTCAGACTGCAGCCCTGGTATAAAAGGCTGGAGGGAGGCTCAGTCTGGGCTGACTATCAGAGGGGAGCTCCTGAGCAGCCCCAGCCCGCCAATCGGAAGGGCTTGCCTGACCAGCACCAGTCAGCCAATCTGAGGGAAGACAGCAGAAACTCGGGAGCCAGTTGGCATGTCTCCCCTGCAGCCTACGAGGGAGAAGCATCCCCAAGGGAAGTAGAGGACCCGGTGAGCTCGTGGGATACTGTCTTGCCGGACCAGGTAGGAAGTGGCTCTCCCACCCCGGAATCTTTGGTGAATTTTGGATGGATTCCCTACCAAAGGAGCGGTGAGTCCCCCTGCCACTCACAGGGCCCTGGGCCAGGACCTGGTGGAGTAGGGTGGGCCTGGGTTCCCCTACCAGGGGTGTAGCCCCTACCCTTGACTTTGCATATTGGCTCTGGCCAGTGGGCTGGTGAGCCCTGCTTAAAGGTCCAGCTGCTGATTGTATATTGACTCTGGCTGGGGGGCCAGCAGGCCCTGGCTTAAAGGGCCAGCTACTGACTTTGCATATTGACTCTGGCCAGTGGGTCAGCAGACCCTGCTTTAAAGGGCCAGTGAGCCTTTCCGTATGACCAGTTCTGGTTGAGCAGCCCGTTAGGCCCTAGAGTCGGGGCCAGGCTACAGCCTGGTGTAGAGTGTGGGGCGAATGGTAGGCCCGGGAGGGGGCGAAGGGAAGCCACCCCATGACATGGCCCCAGAACAGGTGCCATGGAATAAGTCCTCTCCATGAACTGATCCTTCGCATAACCCCAGGGTCTGCCATCAGTATCCCCTGCTCATTTCACAGGGTGGAATGGTCTGTTGCATAAGGCAAACTTGCTAATGACACCCTTGCCCTTAGCACTCTTTGGGGGAAGCATCATGAGGGGAGCCCACTGAGATGCCTTCCCTACCCACAGATCCCTCCAGTGGGTTTTGCTGTGGGAAGGCTGACTGATGGCAAAGCATCAAAACAAGATGTTCCTTGTGGATCAGACACTGCCCCATAGCCTTTACATACATTGCTGTACTAACAAGTTAGTGCACTGGGCAGTAAAAAGATCTATTCCAGAACTTTGTATATGTTCTGACCTAATAATCAGGACTCTGAGGCAGGCCAAGGAAAACACAGGGCAGCTTACTTGATTGGCAGCTGAAACAAACCATATGAATAAAAATACTCTTTAGCTGGTTTTCACTTCATTGCAAAGAAGCCAGAGCTTTAACTGAAAGTTATGAATAAAATAGTATTAGATGGGACCCAAAATTGAAAAACGGAGGGAATCTCTTAATATTTGATTAAGCCCTGAATCTGTACACCGCTTATGCATATGCTGAATTTTAAACAAATTAAGCATGTGCTTACGGCTTCAAATTAAGCATGTGCTTAAGACTATAAGGATATGTCTAAACTACAGAGCTTTTCTGGGGTACCAGAGGTATCCAGAAAAAGGTCTGCTGCATCCAAGAAATGCGTTTGCTTTTCCGAAAGTCGGAAAAGCGTACAGGTTTTTTTGGCATCCCTGTAAGTCCTCTTTTATAAGGAAGAAGGGATGTTCCGAAAGAGGGTTTTTTCCTGACATTTGGCCTCGTGTAGATGGGCCAAATGTCG